GTGGGGAGGCGGGCTCTAACTGGGACTGTGACTGAACAGGCGGTGGACACGCTGCAGGAGGAGAAAGACCAAGAACCTGCTGAAGGAGTGGAAAGAAGTACGGCCGAGGCCGCGCGGCGACTCCAGACACAGCAGGGACAGCACCCTCAGCAGCAGCACCAGCGCCAACAGCACCTCCAGGGGCAGGACCTCCAGCAGCACCAGCAGCACCAACACCCGCAGCAGCTCCAGCTCCAGGCGGACCCGAAGGCCCAGCAGCTCCGGGACCAGCGGCACAAGTACCCTCAGCAGTCGAGGGAGCTCCGGCTCCAGCAGTACGTCTCCAGCGGCGAGCAAACCACTCGCGCAGCTCCTGTGGAGAGAGGGGCTCCCGCCGAGGCGAAGCACCCGGAGAACCGCCAGGTCCCGCACCGCCAGACGCCACAAGGGGAGGTCCAGTGGCCGCAGGCTCCGCAGCTCCAGGCTCAGCAGCTCCAGACGCAGCACCCCCTGGCTCAGCACCCCCAGTCGCAGCACCCCCAGGCTCAGCACCCCCAGACTCCGCACCCCCAGGCTCAGCACCCCCAGTCGCAGCACCCCCAGGCTCAGCACCCCCAGACTCCGCACCCCCAGGCTCAGCACCCCCAGTCGCAGTACCCCCAGGCTCAGTACCCCAGGACTCAGCACCCCCAGGCTCAGCACCCCCAGGCTCAGCACCCACGCGCGTAGCACCCCCAGAGGCAGCACCCCCAGGCTCAGCACCCGCAGCAGGACCAGAGTCACCAGCAACCTCGACCGGCTCGACTGCGTCTACCTGGGACACACCTGAAGGGGCAGGACCCTGAGGGGGGAGGGGGTCTACCGGGGGGGGACCTGGCACAAGGAAGTGCGGTGGCGGGGGGAGGGAAGGAGTGCGGTAGGGGAAGAGGCGGTAGAAGGGGACTGACTCGTCGAACGTGACGTCCTGGGAGGACAGAACACGACGAGAGGAGGGGTGGTAGAACTGCCACCCTGGGGCGTCAGGGGGGAAGCCGAGGAAGACACAGGGAGCAGCACGAGGGGACAGCTTGTCCGCAGACAAGTCGCGGACAAACGCCCGAGATCCCCAGACACGGAACGCAGACGCATCGCCGACCTTCCCCGTCCACAGCAGAGCTGGGGAGGTCTCCGGCCGGGAGACCCTGGGGTGAAGGTTGATCTGATGCACCGCGTACCGAACCGCAAACGGCCACAGAAAATGGGGGGCAGCCGCATGCATCATGGACGTACGAGCGACGTCCATGACCATGCCAATGCGGCGCTCAGCAATCCCATTTTGCTGTGGAGAGTCCGGAAGCGTAAAGGTCTGGCGGATGCCTCGTGCACGACAGTAGGCTCGCAGAAGGCCAGAGGAGAACTCTCCACCTCGGTCAGAGTGCAGACGCAGAACAGGAAAGTCCGAGCCGAAGCTCCTCCTGAGCTGGAGACGAGCTGCGCGGATCCAGTCGATCAACACCTCAGTAACATCACCCTTGCTGCGCAAGGGGAAGACTGTGGTGTAACGCGAGTAGTCGTCAACCACCAGCAGGAAGTAGCGCTCGTGACCCTGCCCACGGACGCGGGCCGGGCCCCACACGTCCATGTGAAGCGTCTGCAGAGGAGCCTCTGTCGGGGGAAACTGGGAGGAGTGAGGGGCAGCCCGGAGCCGCCCCTCGACACAGGGGACACAGGAAGGTCCGGGTCCCGAGGGAAGGGGAGGGAGAGACCGGGGAAGACCAGAGACAAGGACACGGGAAGCCATGCCCCGAAGACGAGGCAAGGAGGGGTGGCCAAGACGGTGGTGCCACAGGAGAGTCTCCTGAGACAGGCGGCGACACGAGCAGGGGGCAGACTCAGGACCAGACCTGGACGCAGCAGCAAACACCTGACCCGACGCAGCTACCTGGCCAGACGCAGGGACAGGAGGAGACTCAGTGGTCAGGGTGTAGAGACTCGACCCCGGCCGACGCGAAAACGTGGCCAGGTGTCGGCCTGTGCGGGCGTCCGAGCAGTGGGTCACCCGCTGACTCGCAGGAGTAAACTGGTGAACCCCCGCATCCTGCAGGTCAGCACCACTCACCAAGTTCGTCGAGAACGAGGGGAGGTACAGACCAGACAAGGTGCCCGAGGGGGCAGCCGGACACGGGAGGACAGTGGAGAAGTGAGAGAGGACAGGACCCCCAGAGGGGTCAGCCAGGGAGACTGCAACCGGCCGGCCAAGCGGCGTGAGGGTGGTGCGGTCTCGAAAGAAGGAGCGAGAAGCCCCTGAGTCAAGCGTGAAGGTGAGGGAGGCCGAAGCCGACGCAGTACCTGAGAGCGCAGCCTCACCAGTACCTGAGAGTGCAGACGCACTGGCACCTAGAGCAGCAGCCGCAGAAGTACCTGGCGCAGCAGTACCAATGCCCGGGTCGGGCGGGAAACACCGGTAACAGTCACCCTCCTCACTAATAGTCACAGCATACATGGCAGCAAGGATAGCATCAAAGTCAAGATCAAAGATTGCTACGCCAGCCCTAGACAGCTCTCCCCAACGGGGAATCTCACTAGCCTCGGGGAACTGCTGACGCCAAGCGTCCGTCAGGCGGCCAAAGCAGCGCTGGGTGGGGTGGGCACCCCCACACTGCTCACCCGCGCGGTCGCCGGAACGAAGGACGTAGGTGCACGGACCAAAACCCCCACCCCGCTGACGCTGAGTGTACCACTCACGGAGCTGCTGGGGCGGGGGGATGTCCCGCGAACGCTGCTGCTGCTGCTGCTGCTGACGCTGGCCACCACCAGAGCCGCTACGCTGCGGGGCACCACCCCGACCAGCTCCACCCCCTCCGCCACCGCCGCCTCCACCTCCACCACCACCGCTGCCTCCGCTCCCACCGCTGCCGCCGCCACCGCCTCCTCCTCCGCTGCTGACACCGCCACCACCGCCCCCGCCACCACTCCCACCGCCACTCCCACTCCCTCCGCCGCCTCCACCGCCACCTCCACCGACCCCGCCAGGTCCACCCGCGCCCTTGCCCCCCTTGCCCCTACCAGGGCGGCGTCTCCCGCTAGGGGCAGACGCCGCGCAGACCGACTCAAGACCAAGCAGGTCGGCAGCAGCAGCAGAGGCAACAGAGGGCAGCAGGGGGGAAGGAGAACACCCCTCAAAGATGGGGGTGCGAGGGTCACCACGAGAGGCTCCTACAGCGACGATGCTCTTCTCCGCCGCCAGGAGGGACTTCTCGAGGAGGTCGACAGTGAGAGTGGTGGGACAGACTGAGAGGAAGTGGTCCCTGACTACGTGAAGGGAGTCAGGGAGGCGTGTGACTATGTAATAGAGAGTGATGTACATGGGGGGGGGGTTCTTGGCGCAGAACTCAGCAGGAAGGGCGGCACGGTAGCGAGTGTCACTAGTGCGGAGGTGCGTAATGAGGTCAGCGACAGTGGGAAAGGCAGCAAGGTCAGGAAAGAGGTACGGTAGCATGAGGCGGCTAAGGGCAGCAGTGGCAGGGGAAGAGTAGCGCGCAACTACAGCGTCGTACAAGGTCTGAGCACTCTTGTACTGACTAAAGTGCGCGCGCTCAGTGGTAGGCAGGTGGCGACGCACAGCAAGACGTGCAGCAGCATCGCGGGTGGCCCACTGAGAGCGAACAGTGGGGTCAGCATCAGCAGCAGGGGCAGGAGAGGCGCCAGAGGTGAGGTCAAAGAGGGAAAGACCGTCCGCCCTATCGCACTGTAAGAACAGCTGCAGGTCGTCGACCCAGACCTCAAAGTCAATGGCTCGACCCTCAGCGTCAAAAGCGAGGACACTAGGGGTAGCCATGACGACGACAGTGTAGTAGTGCAAGCAGTAGGGGAAGGGCATGCAGTAACAGTGGTGCTGTGCTCACCAGGCAGGGCAGGTCGGGCGGCTCGGGAGTAGGGCGGCCCGGCGACTGGGCGGCTCGGCGGCTCGGCTGCTGGGCGGCTCGGCTCTCGGGCGGCTCGGCGGCAGGGCGGCTCGGCGGCAGGGCGGCTCGGCGGCAGGGCGGCTCGGCGGCTCGGCTCCGGGCGGCTCGGCGGCAGGGCGGCTCGGCAGCAGGGCGGCTCGGCTGCACGGCGGCTCGGTTGCTCGGCTCCCGGGCGGCTCGGCAGCAGGGCGGCTCGGCGGCAGGGCGGCTCGGCGGCCGGGCGGTTCGGCTGCAGCGCGGCTCGGCGGCGGGGCGGCTCGGCTGCTCTGCTGCTGGGCGGCTCGGCTGCGCTGCTGTTGGGCGGCTCGGCTGGGCCGCTGACGTAGCGAGGCGGCGGGGCCGCGAAGACGGGCGGCGGGGCCGCTGCAGAGAAGCGGCGGGGCCGCAGGAAGGGTGGCGGGGCCGCAACGAGAGAGGCGGCGGGGCCGCAGCGAGAGAGGCGGCGGGGCCGCAGCGAGAGAAGCGGCGGGGCCGCGAAGTCGGGCGGTGGGGCCGCTGAGTAGGGCGGCGGGGCCGCAGTGAGAGGTGGCGGGGCCGCAGCGAGAGAGGCGGCGGGGCCGCGAAGACGGGCGGCGGGGCCGCAGTGAGTGGCGGCGGGGCCGCAGCGAGAGATGGCGGGGGGGCCGCGAAGACGGGCGGCGGGGCCGCAACGAGAGAGGCGGCGGGGCCGCAGGTAAGGGGCGGCGCGAAGCCGCCGGTGAGGGCGGCGTAAAGCCGCGGGTAAGGGCGGCGACGGGCCGGGAAAAGGGGCGGCGCGCCGCAGCCGCTATGGCGGCTCGACGCGACCGTAAGGGCGGCACTACGGGCCGCTAGGTGCGACTCGACGGGCCGCTAAAAAAAAGGGCAGGCGCGACTCGAGGCGCGTTTCGGTGGGCCCAAGGAACAGTCCCTAGGAGGGGACCTGCTCTGATTCCATGTGAGAATGAGAACGAGAATGGATGAACTATGAATGAAGTGAGTACATATAGGAAACCCTAATTGGGTTGTACCCCCTATGGGATACCCCACTATAGCCTACACAACAGCATAAGCTATATATATGTTCTGACAGGGCGCATCAACCGCGACTTCAAGAACATGGTGGCGGATGGGGAAGCCCTCGTCAACTTGGCTCACAACTTCTTCTTTGGAGATGCCGTGCTTTTTGCTGCCGGCTGCAAGGTCTGCCCCATGGAGATCACCGAGCCCAACCAGCTGGGCATGGGGGACACGTTTGATGTGTTCGCGGGCAAGTGCAACAACGCCGCAGCCACTGGGCTGCGAGATATCTCCGTGGCGGGGGCAGGCAAGGAGGCGAGGGTGAGTCTGTCGGGCAACTGCCTCACGCTCAGCGCGGATGCGTATTGCTCCTCCAACGCCACCCAGCGCAGCACGGCAGCCTGCCAGGCGTTCTGCAGCATCACGGACAACGGCCCGTGTGACGGCCATGGGGCATGTGTGCCGCCTGCACCCGCCTCCCCCACGAACTTCACCTGCCTCTGTGATGCCGGCTACTCTGCTCTCGACTCGGGCAACGGCTCTACCTGTGCCATTGTCAACTCCACCACCACCACCACCAATGGTGAGCCCTGCTTAAATTCGTTGCCCCACTTGAAGATGTTGCTGTGTTGCCTCATCTCATGGAATTATTCTCATATAGCTCCCTTTGTCACCCCCCATCCCCTCACTCACTTCGTAAACCCCCCCTCTCCTATTAATTCCCCCCGTCCCCGATCCGGCCCTCCCAACCCTCCTCTCACCCTTCCCTGCCATGGTAGTGTCCTCCCTGTCCACGGGCGCCATAGTGGGCATTGCTGTGGGCTGCTTTGCTGGCTTCGCTCTGCTGGCTGCTGTGGTTGCTTGGCTGCTGTGGCCCCACCGACCAAGTGAGCCCCTCGACCCTTCTTCGGTTCCATTCCATCTCCCCTTTCGCTGCACCTATTTCCCAGCCCCCTCCTCTGCTCCCCTGTTCTTCCACCATCCGTGCACTACAAATCAGCCCTCATGCTCTGTCTTTGGTCGGTCACTCCTCATGCACTACAAATCTACACCCTTGGTCGGTCACTCCTCTCGTCTGTCTTTGTGTGTGTGCACAGAGAAGTGGGAGGGGCTGGATGTGTGCGAGCAGTTCTCGCTGCAGCAGATGGTGAAGGCCACCAACAACTGGTCGGACGACTGAGTGCTGGGCAAGGGTGGCTTTGGCATTGTCTACAAAGGCCACTCGCCACAAGGCCTGCTGTGGGCTATCAAGCGCTCCAAAGTTATGACCAACGACTTTGAAACGGAGGTGAGGCATACCTTTCTGTAGCAGCCTCTTCCACACATGGGAAATGCTCGTTTGTTTCTTAAACTCAAACCGAAAGAATTTCAGAAAGATGTTTGATTGAAGGAATTACAAGCATACATAGGAATGAAGAGAAGGGAGAAATAGAAGGAGGTGGTTGGGAACAAGTGTGGAAGGGACCATGGGGGTTGTGACAAACCACCCCACTTGTTTGTAAATTGGGGGCTCCACCACAAGTGGGTGGATTGGCACCCCAAATACAATTGTACACCCATAATTGGGTACACTCCCAAATCGACAGTACACCACACTTGGTATACAATCACAAACTTAGCATGCTAGAAGATACGTAAAAAGTACACTACACTTGGTGTACTATTTCAACACAAACCATATCTTTTATGCAAACCTTTTTTCCTCTCTTATGCAAATTCGTGCGCACCATCCATGACCAATGAATTTGAAACGGAGGTAAGGCATACTTCAGTGTAGCATCCTCTTCCACACATGGGAACATAAAAGCACATGCTATCTCTTGTGTTTTGTTCTTGATGCAAACCTGCGACTTCAGTGCTTACCATCCATGTCCACGTACATGCGGAACGAGTGTTGCCTGCAGGTGCGAGCCATGGCCTCTCTCCACCACTCGCATCTCGTTCGCCTTCTGGGATTTTGCGTGGACCAGAACGTGGAGACGGGCAAGCAGGAGCAGATCCTGGTGTACGAGTTTGTGGGCAACCGGGACCTGGAGTACCACATTTACAAGACTAAGAGTGAGTTCTGATAGCTTATCAAGATGGTTGCTGGGCAATCCCTGTCCTCCTGAGAACATTACACCTTTACTTATACGAAGATCGTAATGCTCGGCTTTCATGATCTCCCTTCCCTATCCGCTCTCGCTGGGCCAGAGGTTGCGTCTGGCACAGGGAGCAGCAGAGGGCCTGGCGTACCTGCATGGGTTTGAGACACCCATCATTCACCGCGACATCAAGCCAGCCAACATCCTTGTGACTGCCGACTTTCAAGCCAAGGTGGCTGACTTTGGGCTGCTGAAGCTCCTCACTCATGGTGACTCTGATGCCACCCGAGTGGCCGGCACTCCGGGCTACGTGGACCCGGATTACAACCAAACCAGCATCATCACCACCAAGAGTGATGTGAACAGGTTCGCATGCTTGTTCTTTTGTACAGCATAACGAATATATGAACACATTGATCCTTCACTATCCTGACTTCCAGTTTCTTCCTGTACTGTGCTTCACAATTTCAGCCGTATTCCTCTTTGTCCAATTCCGTGGCTGTTTGCAGCTTTGGCGTCGTGCTTATGGAGTTGCTCAGTGGAATGTCACCTCAAGATACCAATGAATCTCACATGAGAGAATGGGTATGTTCATCAATATCAATGTCTCTGACCTTGTCCTTCCATGCCCTCACACTGATCATAGTATCGTGCTGACTTCCGCTGCCATTGCCCGTTGACATGCTCCTTTGTCCCCCAGGCAAGAAAGAAGATGGAGACGTTTCATCTGGACGACCTCAAAGACAGCAAAATGCTGGCGGTGAGCAAGGAGGCAATTGTAGACATTGCAGACCTGGCTCTGGACTGCATGAAGTCTCCAGGCACACGGCGCCCTAGCATGAAGGACGTGGCATACCGCCTCGCTGCCCTCATTGAGAAGTACTGCCCTGACAAGGAGGACAAATTGGAGAGTATCGGGAAAGAAGAGAGTGCAAGCAGCGGAGGTCTGCCGTCGAGGAACATTTCTTCTGTGCTGTTTGGAGACGGTGGGAGGGATTCTCAGAGGTCTTCTGGCTCGCATCCTAGAGCGATCTCATCCATGAGCATTGGCTCAATGGCTGATGGCGTCAGGAGCTGGCTACATCTGAAGCCCACGGGGGGTTACTGAACTGGCACTTCATGAGTAGATTTTTGTTTGTTGCGATAACAATAAGGGTACATTCCTGTATCGACACAAGTGTCCCAATTACTTTGTGACGCCCAAAAACAGCCTAAACTGTATTGTGTCACAAACGCGGGTCGCCTTAATGCGACGAACACGCTGACGTCGCGGACGAGTTGCAAGCTTCCGTGAAGTACAAACTGCAGAAGAGATACACGTGATCTCACCTTGGTTAACTACAGCGCTACATTGGCTTGCAGAGCACAAGAGACTGAGCCGTTCGCACCATCACACTGACTAGGTCACATATGGTGCAGTAGGTCCTTCAGTTGTTTGAGCTTCAGTTCTTCACCATACAGCGCGCTCCTCTTGCTGTTGACCACAGACTCACTGCTCCTCTTCTAGATGAGCCCTTTGAGTCTAGTGGTCCCTACACAGAGCTTGTGCATTGCCTCATGTACCTGATGACCTGTACTCGTCCAGACCCTGCTTTTCCTCTCAGCGTCCTGGCTTGCTTTGTTGTGACTGGGAGACACCGTCCTGTTCACTGGGCAGCTCCATTAAGGATAGCAAAGTACTTGTCGACTACATCAGACATAAGGCTTGTGTTTGGAGGGAGAGAACCAGTTGTACTAACTAGTCACAGCGACTCGTCCTACGCCAACGAATTGGAAACATGCAGGTCTACTCAGGGGTATTGCTCCAGCTTGGGTTATGGAGCTGTGTTGTGGAGGTCTACTCAGTCATCATCGGTGGCTTCGTCCAATGCTGAGGCCGAGATCTACGCTGGTGCCATGGCTGCTCAAGAGCTTCGCTGGTTGACCTACTTGCTCACTAACCTAGCTGAGCGGTCTCGATCTGCACCGACCTTGTTCGCTGACATCATGGCCATGATCCTCCTGTGTCGAGAACCTCAACTGGATGGCAGAGTGAGCACATCGACTTGCGGTACTTCCTGCTGCGAGACCTGCAGCGATGCGGCCAGGCACACTTGGTCTTTGTGGCCTCAGCGGCAAACAATGCAGATATCTTCACCAAGGCCCTTTCGCCTGGTGACCACACAGTTTGGCCTTGTTCAGGCACGCCCTCGGCTGTTGTAGGCTTGTCTCTTGTTTCTTGCTCTTTTTGTTTTGCTATTGATATGTATATATGTGAACTCCTTAACAGGCCTTGTGGCCCCTTACTTGCTCTCAGACTGTGTGGTGACTTCGTGATCCACCCTGAGCTTTGTTTTGTTACTTCTCTTGACTGGTCTTGTGACCATTTGTTTCCCTTGCTTGTTTTGATGCCCCTCACTTAGCCTATGCGGGTGTGTCAAATTATATTTATATGTTTGTTAGGTTGCTAGGCTACTGTGAGTTGCATAATATAGGGTACACATCTTCTCTTGATACTTCTACTTGTACCTCTTGCCCTACTAGTCGATCCACACTTCTACTCCCTACTCTGAGAACAATGTACATGAATTTTGATCGAACCCCCCCTGGTTTGCTAGAGAGACGTTGATACGCACTGGCGTGTGGAGCTCCCTTGGTGTTAAGCTTTATATAAAAACTTGCTTTGCATGATCGATAGTCGTGTGGTAGCAGAATGGTAAGGGCATGTAAAATGGGATCGGCCAAACCCAATGGTCTCACGCTGTTTCTGGCGATTGCGAAGAGGCGTAACGTGTGAGCGAACCCTGCCACACATTATCGCCAGCACGTGGGGCACCTACTGAGAACCACCCCCATAATTGAAAGCAAAAGCTTTTATATATGCTACAGTTTTTGAACGGGTGTGGAATACAGGGGGAGCGGGGTGTTAAGCAAATACAATTGGGTTAGCAAAAACATTTGTGGGAAAATACAAGAACTGAAACATTGATTCCCCTGCTATGGACGGGTCTTGGTAGTGGTCGCTAAAAGCCGAGGGGTGATTCTTATACGGGAACTACCATTAAGTTTCAGTCAATACAGGTGACTACTTCGCAATCGCCAGATCCGCCCAAATGTGCAACCATTAGGTTTGGTTGTTCCCATTTTACACGTCCTAAGTACTTTTGTTGATGCACGGAGGCGTGGGTTCAATACTTGAAAGGACACTGAGTATGCTTAGGCGGTTTCATGGGTATCCGCGACCCCAAAGTGGACTCTAGACTATAACAAGTGGTTTGAGAGATGTACTCAAGGCTACCAATAGTGAGTCAAGCCAACCATGAGTCAGCTTGTCTTCCCACTTGCATCCTCTTGCAAGCTGCTTCCAGTAAGACCACACTTCTCAAAGGGAGGGTGGTAGAGTCCCACTTGACCACATGTACTTGTTGTCTCATTCTCTGTCCCTGCACCATTGGCATGACAACAATGAAAGGGTGGCAAGGGAAAAGGCACTTAACCTTCATTTTAATCTGCTGTCGGCATCGCAACTCATGGACTGCGGCGTCAAACTCCGCACCGACCTGAGATTGCGTGACATACTCCTACACTACGCACCCCTCGACAAGCCGCGCAAGTACCTAGGACGAGCACACTCCAACAACAGCGTATACGTGCTCGACTTTGACATCCCAGACTGCAGCGACGACAAGGACGAGCTAATCGACCTCATCCCACTTCGATTTGAGAACATTTTGGAGTCCGAATGGCAGCACTCTGACGGCATACCCTGGGTACCACACCACCAGCACCTCCGCGAGACAGATCTTCACAATCCCGGACCTGAGGACATCTATAGAGACTACCGTACTCCCACCGCCTCAGGCATCGACGTCGCTGGCAGAAGTCTCAACGAAATTGAGGAATCACAGCGCCTCGCGCCGCCCAAAGAAGGCATGTCAACGATGGAACTCGCTACCACCACACACGCCATCTTTGGTCCCCCCAAAGCTATGTGCGAACCCGGAACCGCACTCGTCAGACTTCAGTGGATCCTGCAAAGCAAATCGCGTGGCACATACGACGACGCAGGAAGGGCGCGACCTTACCACAAACAAACCTACCTCACCCTCTATTCCGC